AAAAAAAGGAATTCTACACAAATCTTAAGAGCTAATGACATCTAATTCCTACTTTTGTTCAAATTACAAAAATCACTTAAATTTGGTGAAATCTAGATACATTTCAATATGTTCCGGTATATTGCATTCCGGTTTCATATACATCCCTCAACATTTCGATACATCACATTTTGGTTTCGAATACATCACTCAATGTCTTCGATACATCGTGTATGTCCCGATACATCCCGTAAAGTGATATATACAATCGATACATCGTGTAAAGTGATATATCCGATAGTAGGAATTTTTGTAACTTTTTTAAATGGTATAGAATTTTAAAGAATATGTTAAGATAAGTTGTGTATTTAGGTAATTTCTCCTCTAAAAAACTATACTCATCCAGTTTGGACAAACCAATTTTATCGTTTTTCAATTGAAAGTTCTTAACCACTTAATGCCAATAGATTTAAAATTTATGTACTGTGGTAATAGTGATATTTAATATCATCTAATAATCATTAATTTGCCACTTAAATCTTTTTTTAAAAATAAAATAAAATAAAAATGATAGTGGTGATGAAATTTAATGCATTGGAAATGTTTTTATTTTTATATACTGACGCTGTAAAAAAAATTCATAAACTAACAGTGAGTCGGTGATGATCTATAATAAGCAAGAACTGGTAATTTTAAAAAATGTGGTACGTTAAGTGTTGCGATGTAAGAGAAGTGATATACTATGGAGATACAAAAATCGAAACCTTAACACTAAAAACAAGCACAAAATAAACAAAAAATAAAGAATAGAAGAAAATCACATGATAGATAAGAATTGAGAATAATAGCTATTTGACAATCAATACCCAATTACAAAATTCTAAAAAGCATCAATTCTATAGGAAGCAATACAAAAATGAGACTAATAGACAATAATGACTATATTAAAGTCAAAAACACCATGTTAAGAACGCGATACAAGCACCTTTTACCATAAAGACACTCTTAAGAACGTGATACAAGCACCTTCAAATTACATTTTGTTATTTGAGTTTCTAAGTTGTTAACAAATCAAATACGTCATTCTGTACCATTAATTCTCATCATTATTAGTATTTGCTACTAAATATTATCATCATTGTCACATTTTTTAAAATTACTAATATAATTATATTTATATCGAAGTTACTTCCATCACCTTACGCCTCATTTTAAAACAATTGATTGTCATCACTTTATTTCAAGTTCTGTAGTGCATAATGAATTAAAGATCTCAATCCCCTAGCTTTTTTTGTTGGTGCAAAGATACTAATTATATTAACTTAAATAGCATTAGCGCAAGGAGCTTTGGGAGAGACTGGCTATTTACGGGACAAGGGGGAGGATCCGGAGTCAGATCATTACAAGAGGGGGGGTACTAGTACTAGGAAGCCCGACCCATGGAGTAAGAGGTTTCAATCGAATTTATGGTTAGCGAAATAGCGACCATATGAGACAAAAAGTGTCTGTTCGATCAACTTCCATCATGTCACGAACAAAAAGGGGTGGTTGATAAAAAAAAGTTGCATCTCTGGGTGGTAGCTGAAGTAATGACATGCTTAGTTAATGCGTCTGCAATCAAAGGTAATGTCAGCATGTGGTGTATGTAGAGGTAATAGCATCCAGATTAACGTCGAGAGGCTTTAAATTAAACTAAAAGGGTGATCCAAGAATGGAAATATGACGGAGGGAGTCAACCTTCAACAATGGTAGTTGTGCAATCAACACAGAACCTCCAACAAGTCAGTCACTATGAGAAGCCTGGGACTTTCTCAATCGCCTCAACAGAGTGCCAAATTGTAGGAGGTTACAAAGGATATTGCTACTATACAAGTTAGCCCAGAGCTCAATAATACAAATTTTCCTAAGTTGGCAAGTTCCCAGAAGACAATCATTGAGTGGGAAGGAGAAGCAAAGAGACAAAGCCATATCTCTACCCCAGACAGAGGAGGGGGCGGCTTCAGGAATATAAATGCATTGGTTTTTCGGAATATAGAAGGTATAAATAAGAGATATAAACAGAAGTAACTTAGAAACTATATGGCTACCAATTGAATAAAATTGGCAAGAATAATTGAAACAAGAGTTGAAGAACATGAGTGCATGAGAGTACACATCAACATCACTAGTAACGGGGGTTAAACACAAACTACCAGGTTGCAAGTAATGAGAGAATTTGATTAACTTGGGATGCTCTTGCTATAATGTACAATTACTTGGGGCCGATGGTCAAACCATTTACTGTGAGATTACCAGCAGATCAGGCAAGATAGATTGTTTGTTGACAGTCATTTACGTGTACAATACAGTGGAACAAAGAAGGGTTTTATGGGACACTCTACAAATATAGCCCAAGGAGTTGTCAAGCCGTGGCTATTGTGTGGGGATTCTAATGCAATACTTCATCCTCAAGAAAACTGCAAGGAGATCTTGTTTTCTATAAAGAGATCAGAAATTTTTTTGAGTGCACACAAGATTTACATCTCTCAGAGCTGAATTGGATGGGGGACTACTATACTTGGACCAATAGACAACACGGAGCAGATAGAGTTAGTAGAAGAATTGATAGTGTTCTAGGCAATTATGAATGGTTGCTTAACTGGGAACATATATGTACCAACTATGCCCTCTCAAACATTTCTGACCACTCTCACCTATGATCCTAGCAATAGAAGATGTGCATAGCAAAAGAAAGGTTCCTTTCAAGTTCTTTAATGTGTGGACTGAGAACAACCAATTTACTGAGTTGGTTCAAGGAGTGTGGCAACAACATCACTTAACTGATAACCTGAGAGACATGTGGAGGAAACAACAAGAACTACAATATGCTCTGAAGCAGTGTTCAGGAAAGCAAGCGCTTCATCGCTTTACTGACTAGAACGAGTATGTGAGCGCTTTAAGCGATGAAGCGGGGCCTTATCGCTTTTTTCCGCTTCACGCTTCCCTGAACACTGCTCTGAAGAATCTTAACTCAAGAATTTAAGGGCATTCTCAAAGGATCACCAATGCCAGACAGGAACTGCAGATCATATAAGAACAACAAAGGAATTAGTTCACTGATGGCTCTTTTACGTGAAGAAAAGGAAACCATTCTCAAAAATCAAAATAGAAAAGTGGTCCAATATTGAAGAGAGTGTTCTCAAACAAAAGTCTAGAGCTAAGAGCTCAATGGATCAGATTAGGGGATACAAACTCCAAATATTTTACTATAGTGATTAAGGAGAGGATACACAAAAAGAAAATACTACAGCTCAACTCTCAAACAGGGACTAGATTAGCATATGGAAAAGAGATTAGACCCGAGATTGTGGAGCTCTACAAGAATCTAATGGGAACTACTAACACTAGCCTTCCAGCCGTAAATACAATGATCATGAGAAATGATGCAACCTTGTCCCACCAGCAGAGAATTGACACATGTCCTGAGGTGTCTGAGAAGGAAATTTTTAGTGCTTTGTGAGCAATTGGGGAAGACAAAGGCCCTGGTGGGGATGCATACAATTCTTGCTTTTATAGGAAAGCCTGACCAATAATTAAATTCTCTAGGGGCATCAGGAACTTTGCTCACCAATTCATGTTTTAATTTTCTCTCTGCCTTAGTCAATTGGTCAGGCATATAGTTTTCAATTTCAAAAGATAACCAGTTGTGTTGATTGGCTATAGATATGTAATGCTTCATATGGTGATTAATTAAATCCATTAGTTACCAGAAGAAAAAAAACTAATAGTTTTGTCGGTACAAATAGGACGGATGAATTAACGGTCACTTTATATTTTTGTAAATAGTCAATAGATCTTAATTCCTCTTGAAAGAGCTTTAAGTTTCGATGTAACCAAACGGGCGATAGAGAAAAGGGAATGAAAATGCCATTCGGAATATGGATAGAATAGGGAACAGGGTAATAAGCTCATGTAATGTGCGACACTTGAGTGTGGATATGTATGTAACTGTTTGAAGTCTGATCCACAAGTTAGTTGTGATTGATCTTTGGCTCATGATTGCACAGAAACATGCAGAGTTGTCGATAATGCCAATATGGTGATAGTACTCGAACAATAGGTAGTTTATTATGACAAAAATGTTTTGAGTTTAAGCGGAATTTTCAGTTTTCCAATCGAACGGCAGGATGCATCTGTAGAATTATAGATAGAGTGAGAGATGAGAGGAATTTAACTACAAAGTAAACCAAGCGGAGTGAAAGTCCAAACAAATGAGTCGTGTAAGGTGATGATAAAGGTGGGGACATAAATATTGTAAATACGCTCTAAAAGTTCAGGTAGAAGTTGGAAATTGGAATGATGGTGTACTAAAATCCCATTGTCCATTGGGGAGCAACAAGTAGAGAGCGAGGTGCTCAACAAAACCTGGGGGAAATTATGAGCCTGATAATATAAGCTCAACAAAGCCAATTCTTAGACTACCGAAACTCAACAGTCCCTGCAAATAGGGAACCAGTTTCACAATAACTTGGTTTTGTGCATTGAAAAGAAGCACAAGTGCACAACTATCGAATCCTATAATGACTATAAGCAAGTTTCCAAGGACCCTACTATCAATGGGAAAAAACATGTCCACTATAACACCTATGAACCAACTGATCTAGGCTACTATGAATATATATGCTCCATAGTAACTGTCACTTTAGTTCTTTTCTTTTCACGTCCATTAAGAAAAAAAATAATTATGAGGTATAATTTACTGAACTACCCTTATTTATAAGATATTTTTTGAGAATTAAGCAATATTAAAAAAGATTGCTTGCTTAATGTTAAGGGTATAATTGAAAACAATATCAACTTTGGTCTCAATTTTTTCTACAAGCACATGCAGCAGGAACCAGAACCACTAACAAATACATTTAAGCTTAGAAATAATGACAAATATTGATTTCCATTTTAAGGATACAACACACCCTTATGCAACTTTGATTTTCCTTTAATTTCCTCAAGAACTGCAACGTATATATATACTTGGCCCACGTTATTTACATGTGCTGAAAATTACTTCTCTGTCCCTAATGTTTCGTCCTGTCTGCATTAACCAGCCAAAGCTATCTTTCCAGATTGAGAGAATACGAGAAGAGGCACTACAACTAACATAACAGCCAGCAGGAAAATGTTAGCTAGCAAGGCTGACGAGGCAATTGCTTGAACCTCTAAGCTCAGTGCAGGAGAAGGAACAATTATCAAGTATAGAGAGCAGTATACAGGAGACCAAAGTACCTAAAAGTAACCACCATATGAACTAGGAATTTCTTTTTCTCCCCTTTCATTGGGTGGGGATAAAGGGGAGAAGTCCGCCGGAGGATGTGCACAGTTTGTTGTTTTGCAACATAATATAAGAATTCTTGTAAGATAGAAACCTAAAGTGAAATATATTTCAAGAAATTATGAATCTGCAATAGTGCACTTGGTTGTACACGAACCTCAGAAGAAAATGGTGATACTTGGAGGTGGCAACACACATACTCATTAATAATTGTCATATTCTCACAGACATAATCTTTTTATCTTATAAAAAGGTAAATCTCCTCCAAGATCAAATACCAGCAAAGAGAGAGAAAAGACAAAAACAGCAGAGATAACAAAGGGAAAAAAAGGTTGACATGGTGAAATGTTAATCTTAAGTGTTGGAAGTGGACTCCCATCATCAATAAGGGGTAATTGACAAGGGCGATAGCGACAACATATAAAGACACCATAGACAGGAGGAAAACGCTTTCTCGTTCCACTGCCTGATATAAACTTAATCAAACTGATCAACTTTTCTAGATCAAAGTAGTTTTAAGTATTGACTAACCACATGCATATCAAATCTAATCTATATAACTGGAACTAACTAGCCAAGTACAATAGGTGCTATGAAAGGATTTTGATTAATCCTGCTGATAGATATAATATTTAAGGAGCAATACATTATTCCGGGTGCATATAATGTACATAATAAGATGCACAATACACAAAGAATAGACCTATATGACAACAGTAAAGTTAGAATAAAGAGCCATAAAGAATCCAAGAGGCTATTACACATGGAACAAACAGCAGAAGAAAATTAAATGTATAATTTCTTCTTTAATGGTATTACACTTGTCAATTGACTTAAATAAACAACCAGGCAAACCTCACGAAGTCGTAAGCTGATTCAGCCTCTGAAAGTGGAAGGCCTACGAGTCAACAAGCGTTTGAAAGGAAACAAAGAAGGCCGATAAGATGTCCTACGTTTCATATTCCCTGCAAAGGATGGATGGAAACATTAAAACATATGCTTTAGGCAGAAACTAAAAGGAAAATTCATCAGATGAACAGAACAATACAAGATAAATATGACTAATTATCTGAAGGAAAGGACACTATGCAGAGCAATGGAACTTGAAAGTTTCCAACCATCCCCACCAAAAGGGCATCCAATCGTAAGGAGGTAATAACAGATTTGCACCAATGCAGGGTATCAAATGCTAATGGTAACCAATAAACACTAACAGGTGACTCAAAGACAGAAATAGCTTACCCAACCAAAGGCAGAGATAGGATAAGTTTATGGGTTCTGAACTTGCCATTGAATCGATAGCTCGTTTTAGTAACTGGTTTCACAATTAATATTTATACAAATTAATGAATCCTAATATAAATACAGGGTCTAAGTAAAAGCTACTGGATTCAACATATGTTGATACTAGCAAGAAAAGAAACTTTTGCAACTGAGACCATGAAGATGGAGGGAAAAGAGAAATGAATGGTTTTCTGAATGTTATATCAGTAAATAAATCGTCCATGAAGATAACAACTATGCTGTCCACTTCAAAACTTATGCTCCGTTTCGTTTGACCTGGTTGGTTTTAGATACAATTTAATTAAATATCATTTTCTCAAAATAATAATTTAAAATATGTTTGAGAAGCATAGTTATTGGTGTTCAAGACCAAATGAAAAATAGGTCAATTTACCCTGAGGAAGTGAATTTGGAGTGTTGGACAATCACTCACAAAACTAATAGAGTCATACCTGACAAAGATCCACCCAGGATCTGATGACTTAGTCCAGCACTATCACCAGTGTGGTTCAGTTCACCCTCTGTTACATCTTTGCTTGGCACCTTCTCAGCAACTAAATAATCATTATCCACTTCCATTGGATTGCTATGCTCACTGTTGAATGATCCAGCAGGTAAGGTAGTAGAATGATACCTCATCTCCCTAAATTGTTCTTTCACAGTTGGATTGTTAACTCGTGCCTCAATCAAGGCTACACCATCTGCACCATTTTGATCATGGGACTCTGTGTGGAAGCTACCTGAGATCCCAAGCTGCTGAACATTTGAACCAGTGAAAGTCTCATCCTTTGAAAGTGTAGCATCCGCAAAGGAAGAACTAGCAGAAAGAGTGACTTCAGAATCTGTTCTGCAAGTATAGTTTGCTGCACTCTCTGGCAAGGCACCATCACTACTAGCTGAATAAGTTCCAAGTTGAAAATCATGTATTATGTTCTCAGAAGAAGTATCCTGCACGTGTAACTTACCTGTAATTTTCATTTCCTCATTGTCAATCATACTATTTTCTCTGACTTCCATATCTCTTCTGCAGGTGTGGATTGTCACACCATCTAGCAAGACAGCATTCCCTTCACAACTAACTGGACTAGTTTCTGTTTGCAAATCATGCATTTTGGTCCCAGATGTATCTTTTATATCTAACTTCATTGTAAATTGTATATCCTCATTATCAATCCTACCGTTTTCCTCTTCTTTATCCAAATTAGCAGCATCATTTAGAGGAGCAATGGACAAACATGGCACCCCAACTTTTTCAGAACCAGAACCCTGTTGGTTTTTATCCGTATCATCTTCTAGAATTGAACATTCTACAGGCAGAAAATTGACACCACCTGGTTGTTGTGATATCCCAGAACTTGGAAGAGTCATCTCATCCACCTGAACACCTGCTAATTCAGCAATAGCATCCACAGGAACCTGCCCCAACACTGTTGAAGATATCAAATCTTTAATCTGGAGCCCATGTGCAGGAAGGTTATTCACAGTCGAACTAAAGTCGATGGGCTTCACTTCTTTTGGTACATTTCTGGAGACAGAAAAAGATTTCTTAATGTCGTCTAACAGCAAATCACCCTCACCACTAGAGATAGGATCCCATTTGTTGAGCCAATCATCAAATTCAGGTTCCTTGATGCCCGATGTTATTGGTTCAACCTTAATTGCCTCCTTGTGGTAACATTTTTTCCTTAAAGCATTAGTTATAACAGCTCTGCCAAAGGATAGAATACTTCAAAATCCATCATGCGAAAGTGCTGGTAACTCAAAAAAATGAAGTAATTTCTGCAAGTTACCTACAATTTTTGGAAAGCGCTGCTTTAGCACGTTCCAGTTGGAGACCGAGCAAAGATGCCAAATTAGCTACATCACAAGGCCCTCTAAGTTCGGTAACAGAAGGAGCAGCACTGGAGAAAAGAAGATTCTTTCCTCGAGTCCAATCCACCAGCAACTGGATATTTAGCAATTAGATCAGACTAGATTTGACATTATTCTAGACACCAAAGATAGTAAGAAAATACAAATCATAAGTCTTAAATTAGGTTGAATGTGTTATATTTGTGAATTGAGAAAATCACTGCCAAAAGGTCAGCCTAGTGTCACCTTATACTAGAAAAGAGCATGTTACGAGGAGCCATGGTTCTTGTTAAGAAGCTTTATTAAATGCTCATGTAACATAACATGCAAGTAAGAACTACTACCTCAATACTGGATCTTGAGGTTGATGATCTGCTATAAGATTTTTATTTCATTTAACAATATTTTCCTACATTTTGAGTTCTATATGAATTAGTGACTGTCAATGTCTTTGCTCTATGCTTAACTTGTAGAATATGCAATGTACTTCGTACAATTTCACTATTTTTGGGTCCTAGCCAGGTTAGCAGAATACTGTTGCCCAGGTATTATGTTAAAATCCATGAACGACAGAGAATAAAGTCACAATGTATGTATAGTATTTAGTGTCGAGAAATCTAAGAAGAAAGCCTCATAATCATTTAAGAATGCCAACTGCCTTTAGATACAACCAAATTCAAATAAGAATTTCCAGTAAAGGCAAGGACACACAAAAAGGAAATGGCTTATACTTCAAAGTAAAGACTTCCATTTTTTATTAAGAAAATTGTCTAGCTAGAGAGGGTAGAATTGCTTATGCGATAAGGTACATCAGGTGGAAATGTTCAAAAGCCATTTTTTTAATTTGGTATAGGTGCTTCACATATAAGAAAGGACCTGTGGACTACTAATTTATCTTCATTAATGAAAAAAGAAAGGAACAAAATGGACAGTGAGGATTCACACGGCCAACTGCAAGTAGATTCGGATTGAGGATTACTTGGTGTAGGTGTAAAAGAAAAAAGAAAGTGAAAATGTAGACCAATTAGGCTTGATAACTCTTAACGCATATTAGAGAACATGCAATAGTTCCCACGAATTCAACATGAAGCTTGATTTATTTTTTACTTTTTATAAGGTAGAAAACCCCTAGTTAGAGGTTACCACTGTAGAAACTGTTTTACTTATTATCAAGAGGATTTCATGTATTCTCTTAAAACCATACTATACCAACTACTAAAACAAAATACAAAAGAACAAAACCAGAATTTCCCGGACTCACCTTAGCATTAGATATAGTTTGCCTTCTCATTTGGGCATCCAAAATAAGACTTGAGTAAGTAATCTCAAAATATACTCCACGCTGCAATAAAAAGAAATCAAAACTCTCAATCATCCAGAAAACCATAAACAGCTAAAGATGTGGTTCAGCTAACTTTGAGCATACACCATCTTTGGATGCCATTCATTTTTTCCTCCACATTAAGAAGTTCCTTCAACGAATTAGTTTCAGTTAGAAAGCTATGATTTGCACATCTTAGTGGTTAATATTTAGCATACCAAAAGCCCTGGACAGAAATGAAACCTAACTATCTTTTAAGGGAATCAAATACAAGCCAAAAGAACATAGATGTCTCTTTCCAAGGAGTTTTACTTGCAAGAATGGCAATTCATCAGCATATAGCTCCTTAAGTCTGGAGATCCAATTGCTTGCACCATGTTTATTCCTAACCTAGTTTCAATACTTAATAATCAAATATCACAAGCTAAATTAAGAAAACCTCTGCAATATGTTTACCTCAGTAAGATTGATCACCTCAAGCATATTTAATGACCGAATGATGAAACAAATAATATCACAACTACCCCTCAGTCCCATATAAGTTAGGACCAGCTAAAAGAGGAAATACCATGACAAACAAAAATCACAAAGGCGCAAGTAGACAATTATTAGTATTATTAAGGAGCATGCTTTGGATGATATGTGCATGAGAAGTTCTCAGTCTGGTAATCACTATCTTTCTTTTTATACTACAAGATCAAGGAGCTTAAACCACCTGTTCTACATCCCTTCTGTATAATATCCATACATATAAATCATTTATCATGTTAATGACATGATGCATGTTCGGTTTCAAGTATTGAAATGTTTGTATCGTGTATGAGTCTCAAAAGACATGCAGCCAGCAGGTCCTTGGCTAAGATAAATCTTCCAAATATTTGCAAACTGTGATCTGCAATAACCTTTGCAGCTTTGCTCATACTTTTGGATCTTATAAGACCAAGTTACATAACGCATTGTCCACCTAACGAAGGTAAAATAAACCAAAAGCAGAATCACTGGTCATCAGAATATAAGCAAGGGAATGACTTTCTTCTCTTCTTTTTTTTGTGTCCTAAATAGGTATAAAATCAAGGGAAAGACTTTCCAGTTTTACTTTTTATTTCACTTAATAGTACTCTCTTTTAGGAGAACACATAATATTCTTTATAACCAAAGTTTAGTAGAAATCAAAAATATATTGAGAACCCAATTTTTACTCCCACATGTCCAATCCTCTTCAACCATTCTATCCAAACTAAATAAATGAGAGTAGTTGTAGTTCAGCACTACCTTTGTCTATTACATGTTTATATTAAAGATGACTGTTTCATTCTAATCAGAGCTCCAAAGATTCAAACATATGTTATTTGAACAATCTTTCTTCAAAAGCATCGGGCCCTTGTCCACTAGTGACCCACCACAACACTAACAATGTTGGACTCATTCAGACTTCCTATTTTTTATGATGACCATGGTGTCTCGGCCATCTTTCGCGCATCTCGACTAATTCCATGGGATACCTGCCTACTTCCACTAGCACCAGGTAACTCTATCCACCAAAGCTAAGACAAATGGGAAGAATTACCCTGGTGTTTTTTGTCTCTACTCTTTTTTCACTTTATCAATTGTATATTATCCCGATATTTTATGAAGTGCACATAGATGAGGATTCACATCATGAATATGAATATTACATTAATAAACGGCACACCTGAATTGCAGCTTTAACCATAGATTGCTTCAACCTAAATGGCAACTTATCCGAGAAATCAATAGCAATTATGTCCACCTAAAAGTTGAAAAGAAAAAGGTAAGCACAGAAACAACTAGTGTATAAGACATGCATAAATGCAACATCTGAAGTCTTCAAGGAAATAGAGACAAAAATGATTGTTAACATATAAAGTTCGCACCGTCCTTTTTTTCTAATAGCTGCTCCATGATAAAAGCAACAGTATATAGACCTCTAACTCATACTTAATACACTAACATTCCCTAAATATTCAATACTTCATCTCAGCACAAATAGAGAAATTCCTATTACTGTAAGTTTTCCAATTTCAACTTTCTGCCAGACAAGTTTAAAGGACTACACCCATCTTCAAGATTCAAAAATGTATCTTTATTTCCTAAATTTCTTGCTCAATCAGACTAACACACTTGAATTGAGTCGGAGTGAGTATTCAACAAACCTCAGAAACCTGGCAAGCCTGTTCAAACGCCTGCTGATTGAGGGGTCTCACGGCAACAATATCATAGCTTTTCAGAATAGGATTTCCAAAATTAAGAGCTGAAGCCTGAGACGAACTATCAACTACCACCGTCAAACGCGTATACTGCCGAAAAGGGGCAGAAACGGGTACATTTAAGAGCTTTCTGTGGAACTCTACAGCTGAGGAAAGTGAAGGTGCAAGTTTCAAAACAGAAGAAAGAGGGAATAAAGGGATACAACAACGATCCGATTCCGACATTACACCTCTGAAAGTAAGATTGTATGCGATTCCTGTGTAACCCAATTCCATAGCCTTGATTATGAGCTTGAGACGTATGGTCTTTAGGGTTTTTTTATCTGTAACGATGTTTCTATCGGATTCATAGTAGGGTATGTTGAGATCGAAGAAACCCATAATGATGAATTTGTGTGTGTTGAAGGAGAAAAGAGGGGCAGAAATTTGGTTATGCTGGTTAGAAGAAGGGTTTAAGGGGTTTGGGTTTAATAATAGGCTAATTTAAAAGATTTTTTCTACTTAATTTTTCAATCATAGTTAATAAAACTTGTTATTTTTCTTTTGGGGAACTTTTACATATAGTCACTCAAAAATAATCTAATTACACTCCAAAGCTATAGTTTATTAATTATGATTTGTAACTACATGTTATAGGGAGGAGAGTGGTGAGCGAGATTGGAAGAGGGAGGAGAGAGGCAAGCGAGAGAGGGCAGAGAGTGGGAGAGAGGTGAATTGTATATGTATATCAATTAGATAATTATATACTATACATATGTATTTGTATTATCTGGTGAGCGAGATTGGGAGAGGGAGGAGAGAGGCGAGCGAGAGAGGGTAATAATTTATATAATTCGCAGGTACGTTTGGATAATTTGCGTGTTTTTGCATAATTAAGTAATATAAAGTCTAAATTTTTACAAATATGATAAAAAATGACGAATTGATACAAATATAAACATATGAACTTTAAACAATTATACAAAATATATTATACAAATTACATTAAATAAATTATATTATACAAAATTCGAAGACTACATGTTTATACAAACTTTAAAAAGTTATACACAAGAAGATTGCATGTATATGGTGACAAAATCGAAAAATAAAAGGAAATCATCGTTATTTACAAATACAAACCATCGTATATAAATACAAATCAAGCGAAGAATTGTTAGTGGCGAATAATACAAATGTGGCGAATTATACAAACGTGACTAATTATACAAACGTGACTAATTATACAAACTCGAAGTCAGCCCATGTAATTAATGGTTAATGTTAGTCACGAGTGGTAATTATAGAAAACTATAGCTATGATGAGTAATTAGGCAGTATAAGTTTGTTTAACCGCATAATTTTCCTTTTTTTTAGGTAATAAAAAATAATATTATCTATTAAAACAGGGAAAATTACACGGAAAAGAAAATATATACTAGTTAATTAGCTAACATAACTATAGTTTGAATTAATTACGGCTCACAGCTTAATTTTAGCTGTAATTACGTCACTTGTCCTCTTTTTTATATATACAAATACAAATCACACACACAAATCTCTCTCTCTCACACACACACAATTAGATGACAAATATACAAAATTAGTCTCTCTCCACTCTCAGCCCTTTCTCGCTCGCCTCTCTTCTCTATCTCCCAATTTTACTCACCTCTCTTCTTCCTCTCCCAAACTCGCTTGCCAGATATAAAAATACATATTTATATCAGTTATATATTTACAATTATCTGACAGATATACATATACAATTCGACTCTTTCCACTCTCTGCCCTCTCTCACTCACCTCTCTCCTCCCTCTCCCAATCTTGCTCACCTTTCTCCTCCCTCTCACAATCTCCCCGCCAGATATACAAATACATATGTATACCAATTACATATATACAATTATATGACAGAAATACATATACAATTTGAGAGGTATACATATACAATCCGCCTCTCTCCACTCTCTGCCCTCGCTCGCTCGCCTCTCTCCTCCCCCTCCCAATCTTGCTCACCTCTCTCCTCCCTCTAACATATAGCTACAAATCGTAATAAGCAACTATAGCTATGGAGCATAATTAATTTATTTTTGAGTGACTATATGTGAAAATTCCTCATAAAAATAACTTCAATTAAAGACTTACAACTTAAGAATTAAAAATTTAGTAGCCAATTAAAAAATAAATCGATTTAACTTTTGATTTTTTTATTTTCATTAAAATTTTAAATAAAATTTAAAAGTAATTATTCAATTTAAAGTTAATAAGAAAACTCTATTTTTTTTATAAAGCTATTAAAAGTGAAAAAGACTTCATATATAATTTTCTTTAAAAAAACTTTTTTGATTCTATTCTTTATTTTTCATGTCTTGTTGTCATGTCATCAGAGGTTGGTGAAATTTTGAAGTATAAAAATGATTTCATCCTAAACTTTATTTTCTCTTTTTTTTTTTTGTATGTTCACTTCATATTAAATAAACATGAAAATTCAAGCTAAATTGGAAAATTTTTGTAATATATTTTTATCAAAAAAAATAATTATTAATGTTACGTAGTTTGATTTACAAAATGTTGGTATATTCATTCGTTAAATTATTATTTTTTACCAATGTGATTTTTAGATATCATTCGTGAAATTTCTAGTTCTGCCACTGAAGACAATGCATTGATGTTTCCCCATTTTAAAATTGTTGTGGATCTTTTGTTTGCGCTTTATTGGATAAAATAAGAGAAAATAATAAAAGAAGAAAATTAATATGGCAGTTTTGCAATGTTCTCTATATGTTCCACATCAGGCTCACATAAAGAAGAACAAAAAAGTGATCACTAATTTGTAATAAGGTGTCACTAATTAATTAATATATTCTATTACCCTTATATAGAAGTGAGATTTTTAAAGGGCGAACAAGGATATATAGATAATTTTATCATTAGTTTTAGTGAGTTATATAGAAGTGAGACTTTTAAAGGACGAACAAGGTTAAATAGGTAATTTTACCATTAATTTTAGTGAAAATATTGCTATGTATCCGCCTTTACCTCTTCAATAGTCTCCACAATCTTCCATATGCTCTAAGACTCTTCTCTACTCTATAATCTACCATATACATTTGGAATCTCTGTTTTGCCTCAAATTTCTCTTCCCTATTGATGTATTCATTAGCTACAGTAAGTTTTTCTTCCCCATCTCCCCCAATTTTCCCTCCTAATGTGTCCAACTCTTGAAAAAAATGACCAATAATGGTGGCCATAATTTGCTTATTCATGTTTGAAAATAGAAATAGCTATGTATCTAGCTTGAAAGTGTTCATCAAGTTTTGGCTTGATAGATGACGAACAAAGCTTCCAAAAATTGTACTTTGGGCTGGAAATGTGATAAGACGAATTGTACTTTGGGCTGGAAATGTGATAAGACGAATTGTACTTTGGGCTGGAAATGTGATAAAAACGAATAGGGGCATTCTTGGAATTGTGAAAATCTTCGGTGATAAAATAACACATATGGAAGTGAAAATTCTTAATCAAACATGAATTAAGCAAAAAAAAAAAAAAAAAACTTAAATTCATATTGATGGTCATGATATTTCATTTATTAGGATATCATTTTTTGCATTTTAATAATCCTATTTTTCACTTTGTTGACTGCTATAAGATTATATGTTTGAACAATAAGTGATGATCAAATTTCCACTTCATTGCTACAATTTGTTGACTATATTCTATGCTTACTACAACTGTAACGCCGAACTGTGTTCCCTTGACTGTTGAAAATATTAATCTCATTTGCTATACTCGAAGGTTTTCTTTTTACAGGTTTAATGACTTTTGAAGAGCAACAAATGTCCTTGGATTGTAAGTGACTATACATATCATTTCTCCTTTAAGGTTATTCTTCCTAATTCCATTTCATTGTCTCATTACAAGGTAGTTTGGATGAGTTGCTTGAGCTTATTAAGCTCCTCTTTTATTCCATCTTCTCTATGTTATGTGTAACGATCCGAATCATCGTTGTTTAGGAAAAACGGAAATTCAGGAAATTCTAGGCCACTGTCCCGCCAAGGCGGACCAGATGCCGCTAGGGCAACAACGCCACAGCGGGGTAAGTAGTCCCCAGGGTAGGATAGGCGAGACAAAATGTAAATAACGTAAAATCTTATTTCTTCTTTCTCCCTAAAATACCTAAATTAGTCGTAAAACACCCTAGAAACCCCCAAAAAGCTGCTCCAAGCTTGGGAAAGATGGATAGAGAGATTTCTAGCATAAGGATGTCGATGGATTGCAGAGTTTCAGTCAAGATCACTGTCATGAGTTCCAGAAACAAGGATCGAAGACCAAAACTTTGTGCGGCTGCTTGGCGCCTAAGTAGGCTAGATTTTACTAATTTAGTAGTTGTAATATGGGCTCGTTGCGTAGTATAATGTAAATCGCTAGTAGAATTCATGCACCAAACTCAGGGGTGATTATGTTGTGATTCTAGCAATTGTATAGAGTGTGTATCATGAAAAGGGAAATACCTCGTCCTAGGGTTAGGGTTAGGTGATGGTTGTGATCCTATGATTGTGTGATGTATGTTTATTTTTGCTTCATTATGATTCATGTATGTATGCGAATGTTGCATTGGTGATCACATAAATTGTAAATGAGGACATATGAATGATAGATGCCTTGAATCACGACTTGATTGTATGATCATTGAGAATGTACTTCATGGTTGTGATTGTGGCTTGTTGAATGGATCGTGTGTTGCATTCCGACACACTAACTTGGATCGGTTGCCACGTTCTGACATAATCATTGGATCGGATACCACGTTCCGATATGCTAACAGTTTGGGTTTGGGTTCCATGAGAGGACCAATGATGTGATATAACTGTGATAATTGAGAATTGTGAAATTGAACGTGGTTTGTAATGATAAATGATATGGAAATTCCCCGGAGTGGTTATATGATTATGAGGTCTTATATCTAATTGCTCTTTATTGCCAAGTGAACTTAATGCGTATCGTGTTGATGAATGAATTGGGAAGGTAAGGGGTTCAAGGGTCAAAATAGTCGAGAGTAAGAGTTGTCCATGTGTTCTAAGGGTGAGAAGTGGGGGTAGTGTACGTGATGTAGTTACTTAGGTGGATTTCACCTTGGAGGAAGAAATTCTTGGTTGGTAGTTTGAAGGCTTGTTGTAATGTGCTATGTGGCAAGGACAAGGCAACTTAGAGAGAAAGTAAAGGGTGTGTCGTGGGTGGTTAGTTGGAATTGTTGTAGTGCGTGTTGTGGGTTTTTCTACGTGTTAAAATGGCTAGGCGGTGATCAAGAACCTAGTAAGTAGGTTGACTGGGAAGTAGTTGGTGGTAAGAGTGCTAGTGTAATTCTGTGGTATTTTGGAGAGAGGGTAAAAGTGGAGAAGCGATGGATGTTAAGACATGCTTTTACTAGTTGGTTTCTTGTA